GCTGGGCGGGCCGAGGCGCGCGCGGTCGGGCGCGCGCGTGTGGTAGCCGGGGGACGCGGCCCGCCAGTGGAAGCGCCGCTCGACTCTTTGTTCTTTTGCTGAAGGTTCGGCGCCTCTCGGGAAGGGAACTAGAAGCTGCGGAGCCCGAAGTGCGGGCCGCGGGCGGGAGGCGGGCGGGATGTGGTGGCGGGAACCGGCCGGAGGGCGGGACGGCGCGCTGGCGGCGCTTGGCGGGAACCGCCGCGTCGGAGTTCCCGGGCCGGAGGGGCGGGGCGGGGCGGGGCGGGGCCGAACGCCAAGTTTGAACCAGTTCAAAACTCGGGGTAGTAACGGTTTCAACCGCCGCGCTCTTTTCCCCGCGCGCGGAGCCGAGGCTGGGCCGGCTGGCGGACGCTCTGGGACTCCCGCTGGTCCTGGGCGAGAAGCTGGGACCCTCCCGCGCTCCGGCGGAGCCCACGCGCCTCTGCCCGAGCCGGGCGCCCTACCCGGTACTTTTGTGGCTGTGCCCCTTCGGCGGGTCCCGGACCCCCCTCCCACCCCCCGCCCGGCCCGCTGGTCGAGCCGTCGTGCCCATCGCCTCGGAAACCTGGGCGAGGGCGACATTACAGTTAGTTGAATTTCCTCGCTCAGAACGCCTTGCTCGTATCCGTCCAGTGTTCGTTCACAAGCACGTGTCCGCGGTGGGAATCAGATACGCAGAGTGAGTGGGGCGCACGGGCCTCACGCTGACGCCCCTGGAAAGTGTTAAGATGATTGCAACAGTTTTCAATTGTTTAGAAGTGACATTGGGTAAACCTGGCTCAACCCAGAAGAATTACTATTCTGCTTAATCTGGCGATGAGGTTAAAGTTATTCCGAATTTATTGTTTTAATAGGTTGCAGCTACAGGGCAAAATAATCACCCATATAAACTGGGATCCCATATTGAGAGTTCAGGCTGGGGGGGAAAAATGGTCAACGATGAACTGTTACATTAAAAGCCTACAGAAACAGGGATTTTTTATATTTTTAATTACATTTCCAAATGACTTTTTAATAAACTATAATCCACTCGATTTAGCCCATAATTGTCCCACCTTTCCTAAATCACCATTCCATTCTACACATACATTCCAAACAAATTCAGTGTTGGAAGTATATGTGGAGAGAAGTCAAAAGATAGACTAAAAACACTCATGTGCACAATTATGAGTGAATGATAAGAATGCAAAAGTAGGTTATGCGTCTGAGATTTGGCAATAAAATAATGAAACAATTCCATCTGCTATGCAACTAACAGTCACTGATTCATTCATATTCCATAATAAAAGTTCCCACCTACACCAGTAATTGACACTTCATTTTTTAACCAGCAATTTAAACCTAAAAAGTTAACTGCTTATCCTTAAGTTGCTTCTCAAATTGCTAATTTTATCTGTTCCTTGTATTAAATATTAAAACAGTGTGGGCATCTTTTAAAAGAAAAATCAAGGAAATTAGAAATTATCAGAACACAATTCAAAGCAACATATAAACAAATCCAGCATAGGGTAAAACATCACGAACTGCTAAAGCATTTAGAATCAAGGAATGATGTTGATCAAGATGTTCCCAAACAGAATTCTCGGGGTGCATCCTGGGCCGCCTCTCGGGCTCGATACCCGCTCGTGCGGTCGCCGTCGGTTGTGCGGCAGCAGCCGGAGGCGGAGGGTGCGGGGAAGGAGGCCTAGAGGGGACGCTCCGCCGAGCCCGCGGTTTCAGAAGCGCCGCTGTCGCTATGGCCCCGATCAAGGTGGGCGATGCCATCCCATCGGTGGAGGTATTGGAAGGGCAGCCCGGGAACCAGGTGAACCTGGCGGAGCTGTTCAAGGGCAAGAAGGGGGTCCTGTTTGGAGCCCCTGGATCCTTTACCCCTGGTTGTTCCAAGACTCACCTGCCAGGGTTTGTGGAACAGGCTGGGGCTCTGAAGGCCAAGGGCGCCCAGGTGGTGGCATGTCTGAGTGTTAACGGTGTCTTTGTGGCTGAAGAGTGGGGACGAGCCCACAACACGGAAGGCAAGATTCGGCTTCTGGCGGACCCCACGGGGGCCTTCGGGAAGGAGACAGGTTTGTTACTGGATGACTGGTTGGTGTCCCTCTTTGGGAATCGCCGGCTCAAGAGATAAAAGTGGGAGGTTCCCCTGCGGGCTTCCCCAGCCACCCTCCCTCTCTATTCCCAGCCTCCCGGCGGTGGTAATGGGCCCTGCCCTCTTTCTGGCAGGTTCTCCGTGGTGATAGAGGATGGTGTAGTGAAGTCCCTCAATGTGGAGCCAGATGGCACAGGCCTCACCTGCAGCCTGGCCCCCAACATCCTCTCGCAGCTCTGAGGCCCTGGGCCCAGACTACTCCCTCGACCTTTTCCTCTTCCACCTGCCCAGCCAGGGGCAGAGGCCCAGTCCAGCTTCAGCTGCGCCACCAAGTTGAAGGCTTGGCCAGATTTCTGCAATAAACACTTCTGGTTAAAAAAAAAAAAAGAATTCTCGGAAAAGGAAATTTTAGCTAGACCCAGAAGAAGGCATAAGATCAACATTAAGGGAGCAAGGAGGGCACTTGAGATGGGAATGAACATCTATGCAGAGCAGTTGTACAAAACATCACTGAAGCTAAAAGTTCCAATTGGGAAAGGGTGAAGGAGTAGATTAGAGAACTAAGTAGGGCTATATTAAATATTTATAACGTACATATTTAAGTTAATGTAATATGAAGGCTGAGCTGCAGCAGGAAGTAGGAATACCACTGGATCACAGAATTGTCTTAAATTTGTTGGTAACATTTAAGCAAACGACATTTATCAGTTATGAAAGGACTTCATTATACATGGAGAGCATATGATATCTTGTAGCTCTGTTTTGTATATTGACAAAGGAGAGGGGAGGGGGAAGTACAGTTAACCCTTGAACAATGTGGGGGTTAGGGGCACCAACACTCCCCCTGCCCTCCCTCCACCCCACACACACACCCTGCAGTTGAAATCCACATTGTAGACGAAAAAGGGGCCACATACGAAACCTAACAAACTGCATGCAGGCCTTACAAACTCAAGAGACCTAAAATAACCATGGAGGATGATCTGAAATTAAAACTTCCTAACAAAAAGTGAGTCATGTTGGGTAGTCATGCCCTAGGCAGTATCTTCTCTGACCAAGGTCAATCTTTACCTTAACTGAGCTTGTCTATTTTTACATCTATGATAATATACCTTTGGAATGTCAGAGAAATTCCCTTTTTCTAGACCCCTAAGGGCACAACCTCCCACTAGAACAAGAGACCACAGAAACCCTCATTATTATCTTGTTCTCCTACATACCATCGCTATGTGCTGTAAATAATAATTGGTAATTATCTTATACCTGCCTATGTAAAAGAAGTATATCTATCCGTTTTACTTTTTATCCAATCTCAGAGATATCCCCACTTTGCTTTCTCCCACCTCCCTAATCTATCACCAGTGGATTTCATGGAATCCCTTATGTCTTCCTCTTTGATTTTTATGTATAAAATAAGTGGTAAAACAGCCATTTTCTGGAGCATTTTCTCAGTCTGTTAAGATTTTGCTTCCTGGCGATTGACAGCAGTTTGGCTCAATAAACTCATAAAATTCTTATAGGTTTAGCCCAGACTGGGTGGCTCAGATGGTTGGAGTGTTGTCCCATACACCAAAAGGTTTCAGGTTTGATTCCCAGTCAGGACACATACCGAGGTTGCAGGTTTGTTCCCCAGTTGGGGTATCAAGGTACATTTTGGGAGGCAACCGATCAATGTTTCTCTCTAAAAATTAAAAACATATCCTCAGAAGAGGATTTTTTAAAAAGTCTCTACAGGTTTGGACATTTCTTACATTAACAACATATACTAGTAACTTTTGACTCCCCAAAAACTTAATCACTAAAACAGATCTAGAGACAGAGAAACATCGATCAGACCATCAAACCTCAGAGGGAAGGTAGGGGAGGATGGGGGTAAGGGGGAGAGATCAACCAAAGGACTTGTATACGTACATATAAGCCTAACCAATGGACACAGACACCAGGGGGGTGAGGGCATGATTAAGGGGGTTGGGGGAGTAATGTGGAGATAAGGACACATATGTAATAAGTTAATAAAGAGATTTTAAGATAAAATAAAAGTTAAAAAAAAATCACTAATAGCCTACTGTTGACTGGAAGCCTTACTGATAACCTAAATAGTTGACTGACATATTTGTATGTTATATGTATTATATACTGTGTTCCTACAATAAAATAATATAGAGAAAAGAAAATGTTATAAGGGAATCATAAGGTTCATCTGTGAATTTTTTTCTAATTGTTGCATGCTTCCAAAATAATTTTCACTATATTCATTAAAAAAAAAAAACATAAGTGTACCCACGCAACTCAAACCCTTGTTTGAGAGTCAACTGTATTTCATTTTCCATACTAAGAGAATTCATTTGAAAATTTCCATGCAGGGACGGCAAGGTAACATATATGTGCATGTGTGCACATATGTGCTCAAATGCTACTTATTAAGGGGCCTAGATGAAGCAGAAAGCCAGGCTGAACACAAAGGTGGATGTGAACTGTGAGAGTCATTTCTGTGTAAAGATGCTCAAATTACAATTATGACAATACTGGTAGGTCATTCTGTCCTCTGTTATAGACAGATTCACTAGTATGTGACAAAACCAAAAATGGAAAGTGATTATAGCTCTACCTTTTCACTGTCCTACCCCCAGGGTCTGGTGCTGCTCACACACCGTATGTCCCAGGGTTTTCCTGACCTAGGGGAACAGGAGAAAGTCAAGTGCAAAGTTCAGGCTGTCAGCATCACAGATCTCTTTCAACCCAATGAAAGGAACTTACTTCTCATGTATTCATTTATTCTCACATTCAACAAATATTTATGGAATAGTTACAAAGTGGAAAAGTGTTCTCAGAGCTAGGAATACAATGTGAGCAAAACAAAAAATGGCTGCCTGGGTGGAGCTGACTTTTAGCAAAGAGAAACAGAGTAGGAGATAGTGATTTAAAAAATGGTGGGGAGAGACATAGCATAGAAGGAGAACTGCTGAGTGCAAATGCTATAATCAGGGACGGCCTCCCTACAATAGTGACATTTGAAGGAAAACTTGTAGAGGTTTTGAAAGAGGCGACAAAATTGTTCTAGACACAAAGAATGGCAAGTGCCTGGGGCCCGACATGGGAGGCTGCCTGGTGTGTTCTAGAAACAGGAAGGAGATGAGGCCAAAGAGGTGAGGGGGCCTGGTGGGCCATTGTTAGGACTTCTCTTAAGTGAGAGGATTTCATGCTGAAAGATGATCTGATAGTTTACTGGTAAACAAGATCATTTTAGCTGCTGTGTTGAGAGGAGCCTGAAGTGGAGCAGGGGCCAAACCAGATGACAGTTACAAGTCTGCCGTCATCAGCAAGAAATCACTGTGGTGGGGAACCAAACTGGTAGCAGAGTAGGGAAACGAAGCCAAGGAAAACACGTGCTTCAGAGAGGCAAGAGTGATCGTTGCATGACGTGTGAACAGTCCAGCAAGATGTCTGAGACTTGACCCTTGGATTTAGCAATATGAAGGTCACTGGTGACTTTATTAACAGTTTCAGTGGGCTGGTTAGAGTGGATTTCATAGTGAATTAGAAGATTGGAAATAGCAATTAGAGACAACTCAAGGTTTTGCTAAAAAGGAAGAGAGAGAAAATATAGCTAGAAAAGTAAGTGGGATCAAAAGAAAGATTTAAGAAATAACATACCATTTGACACATCCGGTGGAGATGGGAAAATCGATGATTCAGGAAAAAAGAATATTGGTGAAGCAACATCCTTGAGTGTGTTAGAAGGGATAGACTTCACACCTTGAACAGGTGAAAGGAGATGGAGGATGTAGCCTTTGCTGGGAGGGTGAACAGGACAGAAGGTAGAGTGTATGGATATAAATGCAGGTACATGGGCAGATTTGATAGACGTTTACATCTGATTGCAACCGACACCCATCAGTAATTACCCGACTGAGAATGTGCAGTGTCTGAATGAGTATGTAGTTTGTTAGGGTGAAAAAATATTTAGACCATTATATTATTAACTCCCCCTTCTTTTTTTTTAAATATATTTTATTGATTCCTTACAGAGAGGAAGGGAGAGAGATAGAGAGTTAGAAACATCGATGAGAGAGAGAAACATCGATCAGCTGCCTCCCGCACATCTCCCGCTGGGGATGTGCCCGCAACCCAGGTACATGCCCTTGACCGGAATCGAACCTGGGACCCCTCGGTCCGCAGGCCGACACTCCATCCACTGAGCCAAACCGGCTACGGCAACTCCCCCTTCTTGGTCTTAAAAGAATTTCTCAGTCCTAACAGAGATGGAAAACTGATGGTTTTTGGTCTTAGGCATTTGGAGTACAAGAGCAAAAGTGAAGACTCTAAAAGTTTTGGAGGACACATGAAGAGCCATTATGATATAAAATTTGGGTAAGAAGTTTGAGCTCATCGCATTTACTCTTGCAGTCATTAAGAAAACACAAATCAAAACCACAATGAGCCCAGCCTGTGTGGCTCAGTGATTGAGCATCAACCTATGTACCAGGAGGTCACCAGTTCGAGTCCCAGTCAGGGCATATGCCTGGGTTGCAGGCTCCATCTCCGGTAAGAAGCATGCAGGAGGCAGCTGATTGATATTTCTCTCTCATCAGTGTTTCTATCTCTCTCTCTCTCCCTCTCCTTTCCTTTCTCTCTAAAATCAATTTTTTTAAAGACCACAATTGAGATACTTCCCACCCACCAGGATGGCTATAACAAAAAAGACAGTTACAAGTGTTTGCAGGGATACAGACAAATTAAACCCTCAGGCATTGTGGGTGAAGGGTAAAATGGTGCAGCCAAATGGACAATAGTCTGGCAGTTCTGCAAAGGGTTAAAAGGAAAGTTAACCTATGAATCATCAATTGCACTCCTAGGAATATACCCAAGAGAAATGAAAATATATATCCAGGCAAAAACTTGTACATGAACATTCAAAACAGTGTAGGGGCTCAGAAAGAACCACCCTGAGATGTGCCTTTGTAGTAGACATACTAGGTGTACCGGTTGTTAATGCGGATTTTTTTCAATAGATGAAGTTACACATATGTTTATATATATATTTGACTTGATATGTATGCTATTTTTTTATTATTTTTTTTAATTCAATTCGCTTTTTTAAATATATTTTATTGATTTTTTACAGAGAGGAAGGGAGAGGGACAGAGAGTCAGAAACATCGATGAGAGAGAAACATCGATCAGCTGCCTCCTGCACACTCCCCACTGGGTATGTGCCAGCAACCAAGGTACATGCCCTTGACCAGAATCGAACCTGGGACTCTTGAGTCCGCAGGCTGACGCTCTATCCACTGAGCCAAACCGGTCAGGGCTGAAAGTGATGATTTTGATGTGAAAGACAACATCCAGGTCAATCAAAAAAGTTTAAAGAACAACAATTACAAGCATTATTGGGTAAAGATGCATGTCAAACTCAAAAACAACTTGCAGAAAGATTAAATGTTGCTCAGCAAACAATTTCCAATTGTTTACAAGCAATGCGAAAGATTTTAAAGGAAGGAAAATGGGTGCCACATCAACTGAACGGAAGACAAATGGAAAACCGCAAAGTCATCAGTAAAATGTTGCTTCAATGGCATGAAAGAAAGTCTTTTTTGCATCGAATTGTGAAGTATTAACCCACCTGCCGTATTCAGTAGACCTTGCTCCTTCAGATTACCACTTGTTCTGATCGATGGCACACGCACTTTCTGAGCAGCACTTCAAAACGTAGGAAGAAGTGGAAAATTGGGTCTCTGAATGGTCTGCCTCAAAACAAGAGAAGTTCTATTGGGACAGTATCCACAAATTACCTGAAAGATGGGAGAATGGGTAGCTAGAGATGGACATTGCTTTGAATAAAGCACTTTCGATGTTTCTCTTGAAATTACCGTGTTTTCTTTGATTACAAAATCCGCACTATTAACCAGTTATAGATTGATCTGCATTATTAACCGGTATCTGCATTTTTAACCAGTTAAGGGTTGATCCACATTATTAAAAAAAAAATTTTTAAGGTCACCACAAAAGGAAATACTACAAGCTTTTTTGATTACTGCACCTACAAGGATTAAGAAATGGGGACCGGGGAAGAAAAGAACAGAGATTCTGCTAAATAAAGACAACAAACAGTACTCTGGGGGGGGGGGGCTTTTTTATTTATTTTTATTTTCTTTATTGATTAAGGTATTACATATGTATCCTTATCCCCCCTTTGCCCCCCCTCCCCGTGTCTGTATCCATTGGTTATGCTTATATGCATGCATACAAGTCGTTTGGTTGATCTCTCCCCCTTACCCCCACCATCCCCTCAAACAGTACTCTTTAGGCTGAACATGCAAGGGTTGAGAAGTGAATCAAGTATTCAAGTTCTCTGAAAACACATGTGATCAGAATAAAGTGAATCCAGGTTTTCCCATTAAATCCCAAGATGTTTCAATTAAAAAGTACTGCTTACATTCTCTACAATGTATATTGGAAACATTAAGAATTACTTCATTTGATAAGTGACAAGCTTAAAAACTCATTACCTAAAAATACAGTATAATTAGACAAACATAAAAGAGTTTAAAATGCTTGCACAAATATTTAAAAGTCTGATTTATTCACTCAAATGACATTCAACACTTCCTTTGGTCTATGCCCTGCTTGTACCAGATCAGGATTATAGATGAGGGAGGGTGGGGAGGGACATAAAGATTCTCAAGAAAGCAAAGAAGCCCTAGCCAGTTTGGCTCA